ATAATGAAATGGCTCATGTTGTCTTACAGTTTAACAGGTGACATGTTGTTTTATTGCTGCAGGCACAATATTAAGGTTTTTCAGTAAAATGGGTGTTTGTGCATCTTGGCATTTACTCTCAGCTGCTTGTCTGACTCACTGGATGTAGACTGGGTGTTAGCCTGCCATTGGCTGCATGTCTCAAGTGGCAATATCCTCCCCTTCTGTTCTCGGCCTGTTACCATCTCTTAAATCCCCTGAACTACAGGAAACCACGACATCAAGAGCTAGCAAGCTACACACTGAAAATGGCAGGTTTTGACAAAGACTTGGATCATCAACATACGTTTTTTTACTGTTTGTTTTGTCTTCCTTTACAGGGAATTACCTATTTTAATGACATTGATCGCCACCCCACATGTAAACATTACACCCAAACAACATATTTTTCGGCACCATTGCTGCATTCTGGATTTAGAACATCTCATTTTGATTTATTTAAAGAAATAAAAACAAGCCAGAGTATTTTTTCCCCACTATGGCAGAATGATGATTAGTGCAGCCAGGCCATTTTCCAGCACTGCGGAGGTCTGACTGTGCAAGACTACTCAGCTGCTAATGAACCATAATTGGTGACATTGTAGTTTGGACATCTGCTCATCTGGAGAACTTTACCACATGTCGTCCCTCTTACTTATCTCTCCTGTCTTTCTTTACTCAGCCTGTGATGACAGATTACAGGAAGAAGTGAAAGAATAAACTTTACAGAGAGTGAACAAAAATGTCATGCAAGTCAGAACAGGGTTCACAGTAGGTAAACGGGTGGATAAAAAAACATCTTTTCCCATGAGCGGAGTCAACAGCAGCTTCACAGACACCGTGACTAGTTGCAGTGACAAATGACAGTGAGAGCTGCTTCCAACAGGTTCAAACATTTAACTAAGAATCTACGTATTCCGTGCTGTATATGATTGAAGTGTAATTACACTGTTGAAGTGTTCAGTTGTATTTTTACACCAACACAATGGATGAGGTTACCATGGTTTATTTTTTGCAGTTTTGTGTCTGTGTGCAACATCAACATTTGTTGTGTGCGTGTCTACATTTGTCTCTGAGATCACGATAAGACGTTCGGTTGCTCCAAGGTGGTTTGAGGTAACAATTCATCTCAACTTGTCAGCGTATTTGTGGGTTTTGTCTCAAGCTCTTTATTGTAAAGTTTGACCTGGTGGTTTTTTTGCCCTTGTAGCTTCGACTTTCTTATTTGTTTGTACAATTTCTGTTTTGTTTTTGCAGCACCTGCAGAAACCTTCATTCCTTCTGCGAACATCTCTGCAACATACCATAAATTCTTCTCGATGATGAAGAAATAATTTGGAGTGAATATAAAAAGTCCATTCGCTGTGATGCATGTGGTAGCCAGATCTTGTTGTGAAATATTCGTATGATAACATGGCTAGCATGTGGCCTCTGGCAATAATAAAAAGGGATGCTCGCGCAGCTCAAGAGTGCATAATTGAGTTTGTGTGTCACACTGATGAGAGCAGTCATCTACATTGAAGGCAGGTGGGTGCGCTTGCTAACACGTATCTCCAAAGTCTCAGTTCAGTCCCTTTGAATTCCGCTAAGATTATGGAAAACGATACAAATCTCCGGCACTCATAGATGTGAAACGATCGGGACTGATACTGATCTCCAGGTTTAGCGGTGACAGATGAAAATTGCCTCCAATGAGAATTCAGCATTTGTAAGATCAGAAAGAGATTAGATGGAATTAATCACTCATCTGAAAATGACATAAATGTGATTTTGTGTTTTTTTTTTTCTTCCTCAGCTTAGCTAAAATGAAAAATCAACTTTGGGATAATATGAATGGACAAAACACTGTGATGTTACGCTATGTGTCAATGGAATAGATGTGGGTATCACACCTATATCAGGCAGATGTGAGCTCCCTGTTTGGATTCTATGAAAAAGCACCTGTTTTATGCATTAATTGTGTTCAGGTTATGTCTCCCAATAATGGTTTGAGACAAAATTGGAAATGTGCAGCTCAGGCAATGCAGGTGCCTGAAATAAAGCTTTATTAAAAAAAAAAAAAGATTAGTGACTTAAGAAATATCAAACGAAGCAATGTGTTTGTAATATTGTTCAGGGCCCAGAGCACAAGAAGCAGACGTAATTTCAATATTTGAAATGGGCAAGTTTAATTTTGAAGTAAGAGCAAACCAATAAGCTGAGAAAATAGCAAATACGGGGGCGCAAATTGCATTCCTTTATAAAAGTGAAAAGACTTAAGGAACATATAAAAGTAATCTCCAACTGGAAATTAGAAATCAACCCTCAGAAACCAAATAACAGAAAAGAAATATTACTGTCCACTTTCTAAATCAATATAACATTGCTACAAGACAGTATTACCATGGTAACACCAGTAGAGAATGAAGCAATTCGTATTATTTCAAAATAAAAATCAGAGCCTGAAGCCCAAGTTTTATTACAGCAGCCGGCAGATCACCAGTCTGTTTTCATCTGAAGCCTTGCTTTTCAATCACATGCTTTATGAATGTACAAATTTCACTGGACAGGACGATAGCAGGGTCATAAATTAACAAGCAAAGGTAACCAGGAATTTATCAGGAGCTGGGGGATTTTTCTTCTGCTCAGGTCTGTAAAGAATATACACTGTTAATGTTCAGCAGAAATATTCCTTCAGTGTGGACTCACTTTCTTCTCCTGCACTTGCTGCGAAGAAGCAGAGAAAAATGGCTGAGTTGCTCTTTCCTCTCAAATTAGACACAAATTGGAACCTACATATCGCGGATGAAATAAAAATGTTGACACGGAATATTTTGGTACATGTGTTGCTGTTCATTACTGACTATGACCTGCGTATTAGGTCATTTCGCAGAGCAGTGCCTGTATTCTTATACAGTCCTCCTCCGTGCTCTCAGACTTGGTGCCTTAACAGCATATAAAGAGAAAATACAAGTGCTGCATCATCTGGTGATTAGTTTACGATGACTAAGTGACAAGGTAGCTACAAAACACTTTAGGTTTGTCCTCATATGCTAAGATGACATGTAAACCTTCTGACTCTTGATTGACTGATGTGGTGAGAAAAGATTGGTAACAGGCGGATTTCTCAATAGAGCCAAGATAGGAAGGTCTCATTTCTGGTTATTGCTTAGGCTGCACAAACTGTTTCAAGCTTTTCTGAGGGAAGTCAGAGTTCAAAAACAGCCAAACAAGCAGCAGCTTCACTTTGTTGCCAACCAGGATCGTAGCCTTTGAACATGAGATGACTCACATTGATGATCTGTTTCATGGGCCACAGAGGCACTGAAATATGGACACTTAAGCAGCACGCACAAACACACACAGGCAGAGAATCAGTCGAGAGAAACCGACAAATAAGTGAACTTGTGTGGCCACCCAAAAACACCAACTCACACCTCCCTCTCCTCATGGGCACATGTATATTTGTGCAGGCACTAATTAGCCACATTAGACAAAGAGGTATAGAATGGACAAGCCTATAACTTTAGAGACAATAAACGCTAAGATGCACCACAGTGAAAGACACCACATTCTAAGCATCTCTGTTGACAACCCAGCCAAAACTGCTGGAGCTGCTGGTCGGGCCCAGCAAATAAAGGGTGAAGCTTTTAGGCAATGAGCAGCAGGTGATCTCAGCTTTTCTGCAAGTCCTAATGTTCCTAAAAGCCACTCTCCCTGGTTCTGTAATTGGGCATCAGTAGTTAATGTAGTATTGACTGCATTACATGCTCCTGTGCATCCTCTCCCACTAATGCCATTTGCATCACCTTGTACATTTACCATATTGCTAAGCCAATAACTGTTAAAAGCAATCTGAATCATGAATCATATGGGAGGGGAACTTTTAGCTATAGACAGACATCCAAAGGAGACAATTTACAGTTGAGTTAATTTGGGTACATTAGCAGCACAACATGGATTGAGCCAGACAGACCAATTTATGTCTCTGTCCGCAATCCTTTTATTGCTTTTTAGACGTGTAAGTGAAAGGATGCTCTGCTAAGAGATATGAAATATCCATTTTCGAGCATAAATAATGGGTTACGAATGCATCCATCACTTTTAGAGGAGGAGGAGGAGCCCTGGATGAACTCAAAGGTGCAAAATAAATATAAATAACTCAAAAAATGTGTTTTATGTCTGTCAGCAGGTGGTCTGAACAATGTAGAAGACACATCAGAGCGTGATTTGTTTTCAGATAAAGCCTTTACAGTCTCCATTTGAATATTATGATTGTATAAATGTATTTAAATGCATTTACTCTGAGAGCCGAGAGTGATGAATGCACGACACATCTCCACATCAGTTTAATCCAAAATGGGACTTCATTAGAGGCGAGTTTGATTCAAATTAAAATTAATTAGACTGCCTCACCCATTAACCCAAATACATTGAAATAGATAAGTAATGCAAGTAGGCCTGTTTGGATGGAGAAGTGGGTGAGTGAGCGTTGCGCGGCTGCTGCTGCTGCTATCCATAATTTGCAATCAACTTAAAAGCACTCTGCTGTCATCTCCCATCCCGTGGTGATGTCAAAGGCTGCCTCGCTAACTTCACAGGCGCAAAAAGCACTTAAGAGCTGGAGGAACGAGGAGAGAGAGGAGCCACATGCACTGCAGCGTCAGTGCGTGGAGGAGTCTCCAACTCCGGGATGCACATCCAAAACGCTGTGAAAAAACAAAATACACATGCAACTCCTCCAAAAAAACTAAACTGCATCCCTCTTAGGATGCATGTGTAAGAGCATGTCAACTTCACAGCACAGAAAGTGCAAAAAAACCCGGAGTCTGTCGTGACTAAATTGGGGTTAAAAACAATAAAAGCCAATACAAAGCGGAGGCTGCGGGTGCGCATGCAGGGTTCCTGGAAACACTTAACGCGTAAAACGAAGTCAATACTTCCTCCTTGTTCCTCCGCAGGTTGTTATTCTAGCATCCATTTGCCGGGGGGATGTTACTCACCCTCTTCCTTGTCCAACACCATCGTCCTGAGGAACGAGGAGTCCTTCCCCGGGCGATCCGTCCTCGGCTCCGGCAGCAGGCTGCACCGCTCGGTCTGCTCGCAGCTTCTCCTGGAAATGGCTCTGCTAAAACGCGCAGCTGACCAGAGACTACACTAACCCCCCCCAAAAAATAAAACCAAAAAAAAAAACCCAACAACCCTGGAAAGATGAATTACCGTGTGCACGTTTCCCCCCTGCTCCTATCAATAGGCTAATAATTCACACACGCGGATTCGGTGATGTACGCGGCGAGATCCCCCCCTCTCCGGAGCGAACTGTAATGCAAACAAATAGCGTCAAACAGCGGCGATTCCATGCGTAAAAACAACAGCGGGCAAAACAATGAAAAGCCTTAACAAATCTAGTGTCGCCTGCGTGTGTGTGTGAGTGCGCACACGGACGGATGAGGCGCTCAGACTGAACGGCTCAGCTCCCCTCGCTGTTAATATCCTCTCTGTCCTCGCTCTCATTTGCTCCCGAGCAGCAACTATATTCAAACAAATCCGAATGCAAATCTGACAACTGCTAAGAGCAAACTCACACGCCGCCTCGCTCCCAGTTTATGCGCCGCGCTCCGTCTCTGCCCCTGATGCTGCTGCTGCTGCCGCCGCTGCTGCTACTGAATAAATGCGCGCAGTTTCCAGAGACCCTCAGATTCCCCTGTTAATTAAATCAATTCATTATGCTCAGATCTGATTAGCAGCCCTTCCCCCCTCTTTGAATCAATTATTCAATACACAAACATAATTGCTTGTGCCAGAGGTGTCTAAGTATTAGCTTATTTAACTCCAAGGACACTAATTACCCCTAGGGCAAGGGAACTTTTCTCATTAATTCTGACAAAACACAAAAGCACAGCTAAGGGAAAGTGTGTGCGTGCGTGCGCGCGCGTGTGACTGGTCCGCCTGCCAGTCTGAAGGTGCGCGATAGAGAGAGAGAGAGAGAGAGAGAGAGAGCGCGCGCATGCACGTATGGGTTGTATTGATGCACGTGCGCACGCATGCAGGAGAGACTATAAGAGAGAGAGGGAGGGAGAGAGAGATTGAGTGAGAGTGATGCAGCTGCATTTGTGCCTGGTACAGTTGGAGTAAACATAAAAATGTATTCTATTGTGTTTCTTGAATGTAGAAATAACATGCACTTGTCCCTGTGCAGCAGTTAATTAGTGTCCAGACACAGTTATCATACAGGCTGCACTTTCAAAAGAGAGACTGCACAACAGATGGGCTGCGTTTTTGATTAGTGGGCGAGATAGAGGGTTCAGTTTTGAATTAATATAATTGTTGCCTGTTATTGCCAAGATGAAAGTGTTGCTGTTTCATGGTGGAGCCTTAAATAGCACCACTTTCACTTGCCCCGCGGAGACTGTTAACCAATTAAGGGTGAGATCCAACAAAGATTAGCCATTTAGGAGAGAGTGTTGGGGTATAGCTGCAATGATGCCGGTCTGTCTGCAGGCCGGCAGGCTGTCTGTGGTGTGAGCCCGCTCAGTCTGTCCTTGCCTTCTGTTAAACATTTTGCACCATATACAAACTTACTCTATAAGCACTTAATCATTACCCTAGAATTAAGTAATAACAATTAATAACCATATTGATAATCAAAACTTTTCAGATCAAGGGCCTTTGTGTGATCTGCAATAGACCATGTTTTTGTAGCTACCTCATCTGTGAAATAGAGTGGAAGGGATTCAAATATGCAAGTTCAAATAAGTAAAAATGACAAAATCCACACAAAAGTCCCTTTATTTTGAGGTGAACCACATTTTTTTACAGGCTGCTGCTAATGTGATCACGCACCACCAATGTAAGGTGTAAAACTCACTGTACATAGCCCATAGGGGTAATTTCAGTTCTCAGGGCAGCGGGCTGTGGTGAGATTGGGTTGGCCCTGAAATCAATGGGCTGATCCCTCTCTGTCCAGCTTCCTGGCTGACATGCTTGACTTTTCATCTCCACGGTCACATAGATTGATGACTTATGACCGAGAATGTATGTTTGCTGACCTCTAGCAAAGTGAGTGACACATAATTAATCCAATCACACAGAAAACTGGAACAGAAAAGGGGGACAGAATGGTTCAGTATCATCAGGGCTCGCCTTCAAACAGCCGTTTGACATTTGAATGTAGAAAAAAGGGAAAAAAAGCAATATAAAGACCATTCAGTGAGGGAATAAAAAATTATGTGTGTGTGTGTGTGTGTGTGTGTGAGAGAGACTGGTGGGTAATAATGGATGGAGCTCTGAATTTACTGCAATTACCTCATGACCATTCTAGGTCTACATGTTCAAGGAGTTGCATGTATATTAAAGTTTAAGATCTAATGATGTCAGAACAGATGAAGTCGAGACCCCGTGTCTCCTGATGTAACAGTGATCATGATGTTAATACATGGGCCAGTTGCACAGCGCCTCTCAATCAGGGTAGTTCTCATCAATATAAATTACCCACGTTACCTCTGTGTAAAGACACAACTTTCTGCGGTGCGCGGCTCCTGTGGCGTGCTCTTCAGCCCCCGGCCACGGTGTCTTGGGTGCAGACCCTTCCCCACTCCACATAAACAGCGGGGTCAGCACACACTAGAAACAAGCCCCTGAGTGGGCCTCTCTGATACACAGTTAATTAAAATTCATTTCTGAGCATGCATTACCCATGCCCATCTATTTATGGGCAGCTCTCAAATGCAGCCACTACAAAACAGTGCTCTGTAATTAACCCCACCTAATCAGATAGCTCACTAGTGTTGTGTTCCTATTCGTCCTCAGGCACACAGCCATTGGACAGGGGTTTCAGAGAGAGGATGAGCCCATTCTATAGTTCAGAATGGCTAAGCAGATTAAAACCTCATATCGAACATGATATTTACAGGCGAGGCTCAGTGGAGAGTGCTCCTTTTATGTGGGATGGGGAGAGGCTTCAGGGCTGGGCTTTTAAAGTCATGTCCCTTAATTGTATTCTGGCTAAGTGGGATGAATGGTGCTTTTTAATCAGACCACTGACGGAGCTCGGTGTTGTAAATATATAGAGATGGTGCCTGATAAATAAAATGCTGAATGATATGCTTTTAGTCCAAGTTTCCCAGCTTCTAGCGATATTTAGATTCATTCTAGCATCAAGCTGATAACCTGTGAACATCAGTGGGATTTCCCCTGCTGTTTGTGCCACTGTAGCAAACACTGGGTATTGGTAAGTAATTGTACAAGATAATTCATAGTAATATCACCGTCTTTGCATTGAGCTTAGGCCTGTAACTCACAGGCAGACATTCAATGAATGTGTTTAATGTGTCATTTAAATGTTGTGAGAGAGCAGCGTTGTCTTCATGAGTGAAGTTTGATCACCAGTGAGACCTACTTTACTTTGTTACTCTGAGATTCAATGCTCTGCTCCTCCTAGTGGCAGGTCTAGGCCATGTTTTTCCATCAGGCTTGTACACAAATGGGTTTGATAGCAGTGGATTAAACACATCACAGAATAAATTGCATCCTATTTTTGATTCTCTTCTTCGTGGAGCTCCTGGGTCAGTGGGGGGGGGGAACTAGGAATTATTGTTATCTCTTTGTTGTGACCTGACAGACTCGTCATATAGAAAGTAATAAAACGGTTTGAGGCCCTGCTGTTCACATAGTCAATTTGAAGTTCATGACCAATCAAATGCAGACAAGGTGTCATTTGGTGGGTAGGGAAGAGGGGAGAGTGAATCCCTTTCCCAAACAGTTAATCCAACTTTAATCCTAGTCATTAGGAATTAGACATGCCGAGCTGTCCGGCCGTGCCTCTAAATTACAATCAAACGGTTACCAATTACACAAATTATTGATGGTAGATTCTCTTTTCAACTGCAAATTAAGGCTATTAAGGAAGGCTCCTTTTTAATGCAATAGTGACTAATTAACCAGGGGATGGGAAATCTGCTGCCCAGATATCAAAAAAGTTCTCAGCACACATTGCAGAAACACAAGGGAACCAATTAGTTTAATTATCAAAACAGCTAATTAAAATTGCACAGTTCCTAATTAGTTCTTTGCTTTCGCCTCTAATTGACAGCATGGAGATAAATGGGCTGCCGATGAAAATGGGGAGAGGAGAAAAACAGGAGAAACTTCGGCGGAATATTTATGCTGACTTTATCTCCGTCTGTGTGGCAGCCCTTGAAAGTGGAAAATTAATGACCTTAATTCCCAAACTGTTTTTCCTCTAACGGTGCTCCCCTCTGCGCTCCTGGTGCACGCTCCTTTGTATGGGCCTGCCACACTGCCAACTGCTGGAATAGGAAAAAAAAAAGGGTACTTAGGGGTGGGAAGGAGCCACGATTCTCCTCCTAATGTGACAGCTCCCACCTAACAATGGAGAAAGATGAAAGAATGGAGCAGATGTAACCACTGGGAGCGTTGCATCATGGGACTGCAACTCTGTTGCACTTTTTTTTATAGCACTTCTGTCATCTATGGGGCCACTAATTTGTCCCATGAAAAAGAAGGAACTCTGTTGGGGCAGAGATAAAAGACATTTGATGTCCTAGAAATACTTTTAATAGGTTTCTTAATTTGAATTTTAGATTGATTAATACGATGCCTGGTGAGTCAACTGCTACAAAAAACTTTGCACAAACACACAAGTGTTGATGTTTCTAAGTGGTCTAAAGACTGCAAGCACAACTGAGGACCTATTGTTACATCCTCCAGATTTATTGTAACAGGTCTTTGTCCTTATTGGTATGATGTGTTTCAAGGTCCTTGGAAATAAAGAAGAAAGATGGATCCTCTTAGACAGAATTGCTACACTAGCAAACCTGAACGACAACCATTTACCTCACAATTGTTGGGCGTGCGAGCGTGCGTGCGTGCGTGCGTGCGTGTGTGTGTGTGTGCGTGTGCGTGTGTGTTTGTGTGTGTGTGTGTTACCTCTCTGGTGTCTATCCTTCTGGCAGACATTGTCTCTTTGTCTGTGTTCCTGCAAGGCCAACCTTGTTATGTGTAATCCTGTCCCCCTGCCTGCATGCAAGTGACATGTGGGTCCTCTTGGCACATTAGAAGATAACTATCAACTAATCAGTTTACTTTTGGGACTGTGTTAAAATGTAAATTGCATTAATGCTCAAATTATGCATCAAACTACGCAGATAGGCCAGGCCAGAGGCCGCATAATGCTTGGCTCATTCAGTTAGTGCCTTCTACATGCAGTGTTAATGCACTCTGATTTCCCCAGCTCTGGTTCGAATCAAGTGTGATACGTCAGCCAGTTGGTGTCTGGGAAACTGGAGGAGCTGTGTATGAAGTGGAGGAGAAAGCCTTTTTGTAAAGCTTCACTAAAAGGCAGTGGGGTGATAGCCGCCTGTTGGATTTCTTTTGTCTAATTCAGTGGAAAGGACTTTCTGCTCCATGTGCATTTTCACATTTCACTCATTTCGGTGGAAACTGTGCCGATATTAATTTACTTATAATCTGTATGAGCAGAAATAGACTGCCTGAAGTGCATTCTGTAACATTCAAAATGTGATCTATCTAAACTCAGCCCATCCTGTTTCAAATTGCACCCTGAAGAGGCAGGTCTATTGCAGAGCCTCGGCCTGGAGGAACTTGCTGCCCATGACGAAAACACACGT